CCAATTGCAATGATACTGTATATCTTCTACATGGAGCCCTTTCTCCTGAGATTTGAGGAAATTACTCAAGGGGTAAAAATAACTGATTTCTCCCAGAAGGATGAGGACTATGCTGATGATGTAGAGGCCATGGTGGAGAAGGAGGAGGATTTCATTATGATTGACATACTGTTCCAGGAATTTGAGGCTTGCTCTGGAGCTGTATTATCCAGGACAAACAAAAGTAAGGTGCTGGGTTTAGGAGGTTGGAAGGAGAGAAGGATCTGGCCCCTGCCCTGGTTGCAGACTGTGTTAGAGCTGAAGATATTTGGTTTCCAGGTTCTCCAGACCTACCAGGAGACCCTGAACAGGAACTGGAGCACCCTGGTTGAGTCCATCAGGAATGTTATCATGAGTTTTCAGCTGAGAGCCCTGGACACTCTACATCAGAGAGTTGATTGTTTAAAGATTTATATTCTGTCTAAACTTGTTTACAAGGCTCAAGCTCTACCCCTTCCTTGAGTTTATGCTGCTCAGCTTGAGAGAATCATCTTCAGATTCTTGTGGAGAGGAAAGCTGGAGAAGTTGGCCCTGCAGGAGATCTATAATCCTCCTGAGGAAGGTGGTCTTGGGATGGTGGATATAAGAACTAAGGCAGACTCTTTGTTCATAAAACAATCCTGCAGGATCCTGGATGAGGAAGGGGGGGGGGAGGAAGCATGTAAAGTATTGGATAGGCATGTATCTGGGTGGATATATCCCTGATCTGAGGCCTGGTCCCCACAGTGAAAGGGGGTGCTATGGAAACGCCTCAACACGGAATCAGACCCGTAAAAAACGGAAACCTCCCCAAAATGATTTATTTTGAGGCGTTTCCTGTTTTTTCAAAAATTATCGGAAATCCCTCTAATCCAATTTTTAGAGGAATTTCCCGTTTTTTTTTATCCGTTTCCTCGATTTTTAGGTCGGATTCCGGTTTATCAGGGTCTTATATTGTTGAGGGATTTCCCAATATTTTGGAGGGATTTCCCAATATTTTCGATCCGTTTCCTCATTTTTTGGGTCCGTTTCCGGTTTTCAGAAAAAGTTTAAAATTTTCAGTTTGTTGATCGGTTTCCTCTTTTTTTGGGTCCATTTCCTCTTTTTTTGGGTTCGTTTCCGGTTTTCAAAAAAAGTTTCAAATTCTCAGTTTTTGATCGGTTTCCTCTTTTTTTTGGGTCCGTTTCCTCTTTTTTTGGGTTCGTTTCCGGTTTTCAAAAAAAGTTTCAAATTCTCAGTTTGTTGATCGGTTTCCTCTTTTTTTGGGTCCGTTTCCTCATTTTTTGGGTCCGTTTCCGGTTTTCAAAAAAAATTAAAATCTCAGTTTTTGATCGGTTTCCTCTTTTTTCGGGTCCGTTTCCTCTTTTTTTGGGTCCGTTTCCGGTTTTCAAAAAAAGTTTTAAAATCTCAGTTTTTTGATCCGTTTCCACTTTTATTGGGTCTGTTTCCTCATTGTTTTGGTCAGTTTCCGGTTTTCATAAAAAGTTTTAAATTCTCAGTTTGTTGATCGGTTTCCTCTTTTTTTGGGGCCGTTTCCTCATTTTTTGGGTCCGTTTCTGGTTTTCAAAAAAAGTTTTAAATTCTCAGTTTGTTGATCGGTTTCCCAGCTTTTTTTGGGCCCGTTTCCGGTTTTTAAAAAATGTTAATATCCCAGTTTTATTGGTTTGTACCCTTTTTTGATCGGTTCCCTCATTTATTGGGTCAGTTTCCGGTTTTCAGAAAAACATTCATTATTTTCGAATTTCGATTAATTTTCATTAGTATCTGGTTTAAAATAAAATATTACGGTTTTGGCTTTAATTGGAGTTTTCATCTCCTTCTGGGTCAAAACTGTTCCTCAAAATCTGTTCGGAACATTTCCTGCAACTTTTAGGAAATATAGAGGGCTACCCTCAAAGGATGAGATTTCAGACACGATTGTACGAAAATTATACTGTCAATTTCTAAGATA